GTAAAGTGCAATATTCTGCAAAGAGAATATTTCTGAATGTTATACAGAGGGCTGCCACAACTTTTACAGCTGCCATCAATTTCTGAGATGTTTGAGCATGAAATAAATGGCAGGAACTTTGCGTGCATATACTATGGCAAGGAATGGGCTGCACATGCTACTTTTCCCCAAAAAAATGACGTTTTCGTCATTTCACTGGTGTTCCATTTTCCCATTTGAATGGCCGCATTGTTCTACTGGTGTAGGCCATCATTTTGTTTATGAACATCAAAACCATTATATTCATTTGGTGATTTTTCGCACTTCACGCTCTAAGTTGCTTTAAAATTGCGTACAAAAGTAAGTTGACTTGCTAATCACCATTAGGATAAATTTCCAGAGAATTACCGACTGTTACTGCCTCACATTTTTTACTTCTCGTTCCAGGCTCCCAGAGAGATAAAAGACGTTAGCTTGACGGTTATGACAGAATTCTGACCGCCTTGTATTTCTTTCTTCACCCAGTTGTTGGAGAGCAAACTGAGAGCAAAATAGTCTAAATATTCAAATAGCCGGGCCCGGCTGGGAATGCGTAGTTTTGGATAGAGATCATTTTTCATGATAAAGATATTAATGCATTTTTGTTGATTTTTGCTGTCGCTGGAAGCTCACGCTAACAATAAAGTCAAACATATATTGGACGAAGCCTGCAGCAGTAACGCTGTAGCCATGGATACAAGCCTCGTCACATGTGGAGAAATACAAATTGGATTCGTCTCTCACAAGATGCCTATCACCAAGATTGAACTCTTTCAGTTGCTTTAATTCAAAAACAGCTACTCAGTGCGAATTTGATCTTCTTTCTATAACTCGCATGTTTTTCTCTTGTGTTACCGCGGCATTATGAATCTTAGAGTCTTTGAAACAATTTTTCTAGCACGGATGAATGTCGGTTCCAATGTTCGAAAGAAGCAATGACATGAAACTAACAGTTGGCAGTATCTCTGCCTATCCCAGCAATCTGTCAATATGTTATTTAGAGACAAGAAGTATTACATATGCTTGCGTTGTACAAAAAACTCAGGTGAGTTAGAACTATTATGGAAAAGCATGGCAAAAAACCAATCTAACAACTAGGCTTGAGCCAAAGACTTTATTTGTAGAGATGATCTCTGATCCTACTAACATGATGTACGTGCTTTCATTTTTCCTTTCTTTAACTTTGCTTCATCGTTTACATTAGAATCAGCAAACAGTAAGCTTTTTTTATCCTGAGTAATTCTTCTCCTTTCTGCTTTACAATGGAGTCAGGATATAAAATTTATCAGAAAAGCTCATTTTGAAACAACTCAATGCGCTAATATGTGATTTATCTGA